TGAGCATGAGCCCAATGTTGGCCGGCACGTCGTGGTGCACCACCCACTCGCGCCGCGACCGCAGCTCGATGGCCACCGCGAACGCTGATGGCCCCTTGCACTCGCGCACTGTCTTATGCTTGGCGCCGCGTTCGCGCACGGCATCGTCGCCCAGGGTGACCGATTGAACGCCACCCACGACCGAGTTGAGTCCCGGGTTGTCGACCACATCCTGGAGCGTCAGGCCGTGCGCCGTCGCCACCAGCATCACTCCGCGCCGCGCTATCGTGCAGCACGCAGCGGCCTCTGACTTGGTTCCTATCTGCACACATCGCATGCATGTTGCCAATCATGCATAGCTCATCAGACAACGCACGCACGCACGCAAGGCCACTCTGAGATGGGGCAGACCTCATCGACAATGATGATGTCGGGCGTGTGGTTCTGCACGGCCTCGATCATGCACTTGTGCTGCCCTGACCCGGGGAGCACCTGCATGCGCCTCGCCTCCCCGATGGCCGTGTGCGGGATGTCCCCGGCGCCGGCGATCTCGTTCGACGTGTCGACGATCATCACGCTCCACTCGTTGGCGAGCTCGCGCGCCATCTCGCGGAGGACCGACGTCTTGCCCATGCCTGGCGAGCCCAGAAGCAGGATCGACGCCTTGCGCTCGGCCGCTCTCTGGAGTACATCGGCCACCATGGGCACCAGGCCGCTGATGGTCTTGCCCACTCGGATGGTGACGCCCACCGCTTGGCCGGCCTGGTTCTGGAGGCGTGAGATGCGGTGCAGCGTCTTCGAGAGCCCCGCCCTGTTGTCCAACCCCCCCCACCCAACCATTTCGTTCACCGTGCGAGTCAACTCGTGCACCTGGAAATATGTCACGGTGTAGGGGGGTCGCATGTGAGTGGTGGCTACGTGCCTGTTCTCGGAGTTGAAATCGGTGATGAAGCGCAAGAAGTGTTCGAGGTCGGTCTTGTTGATCTCGCGACGTCTTCCGATCCGGGCTACGCGTGGCATGCCCGCCCCGGAGAACCGCGCCTTGAGAGGCCGGCCCAGATCGAGCATGATCTCCACCAACCGGTTGTCCACGAGAAGTGCGTCGCGCAGGCGCTCAGGCAGGGCGTTGAGGATTTCCTCGATGCTCTCATCTTCCTGGATGACGTGGCACCCTCGTTATCTCCCACTCCTCTCCCCAGCGGGGCGGAGGCGCCTGTGCCGGCGACTGTGGGAAAGCGCCTGCGGTCGATGTAGAGCCGCGAGCCAGCAGCGGCGTGGTCGAAGAGGCATTGTTGCTTGAGGGCGCCGGCCATCGAGTAGAAAGCCTGGAGGAGGAAAGCCACGTCGAGGCTGGCGTAGCCCACCATCTCCTCGGTGAGCGGCCGCCGGGTCCAGTACAGTCGATCTCTGGTCCACGCCTTCTTGACCGCCTTCTTGAGCTCGTTCTGGGAATTGGCATAGAGCTTGAGCATGGGGTTGAGCCCCACTTGGTTTTGCTTGCCCACCGTCAGCACCGAATGCCCCACTATCTCGCACCGCACAAGTTGTCAGCAGTGGGCAGTGGGTGGATCGATCTTGCGTCAATGAACCTAAGGTTGGCGCACCCGAATGTACCTTGGGTGTCGAAGACGTGGTTGAGTAAGACGCCGTGCTCTGCAAACAGTGCGCTCGCGTCGGCCCGCAGGTCGTGTCCCACCTTGAGCACGTGCACGTCCTCGAGCACTCGCCGCAGTCCGCCCTCGCTGAAGTGCCGGCTTCCGCCCTTGGTCACGTCGAAGAGGAAGTACCGGCCGCTTCTCGTGGCGATCTGTACGAGGCACAGAGAGCCGCTCTTGTCGCCCAGGTCAACGCCTTCGCAGTCGAGCGCGAGAGGGTGGTCATGAGCGAGTATGCTCTCCACCACCTCTCGGCAGCGTTGCACATCTTCCACGATCACCGCTGCGGCCGTTGCAGGGCTCTCGGTGGTTTTAGTGGTCGGAGTTGGAGGGGCAGGCTGGTTGGTGGAAGCTGCCGCCTTGGGTGTCGGCTGGGCAGCGGCAGCAGCCCCCAAGGTTGGCTGTGGAGCCGCAGAGGAAGCTGTGACTTGTCCAGTAGATGTGCCCTGAGAGCCCCATGACAAAGGACAAGTACCTCACTAGTGTGTTGTTTTGCACACAGGACAACCATCCAGTTTGAAAATGCCATGTAGCAGGGGAGATTGGCTTGTTGGAACAAGGACCATCCGACCAAAAGTGCCTAGACAACTTTTGGTGGGGTAGGTTGGGTTGCCAGTGACCCTCAACACGCCCCTTCAGTGGCAATCCAGCCGACCATACTGAGTGTTGCCTGAAATGGGATTTGATCCAGCGACCTGTCTGTGAAGTGCTTCGGCCCCATGTTGGTGCCGTCTTCGGTGGGGGGATTTAGGGAGGATTTTCAAACGAGTGACAGGCGCTAGCCAGATTCGAACTCACAATCCTCTGCTACCATGTTGGAACAAGGACCATCCGACCAAAAGTGCCTAGACAACTTTTGGTGGGGTAGGTTGGGTTGCCAGTGACCCTCAACATGGCTGTCGATGAGGAATTCGTACCACGTTGGGTGTGTTGGCCCTTGGTGTGTTGGAGTGCACGGTGGCCTTCTCGCCCGCCCAGGTGAGGAAGAAGCCCCGCTCTTCCAGCAGATCCTCGAGGTAGACTCCCGCGACCTCGCAGAGGGTGTCCAAGTTGGCGTTGTTCTTCAGCTTCGCGTAGGCCTGGACCAGGGCATCCAGGTCGCACGCGTTGTTGGGTGACTTGGCGAGTAGGGCGGCCATGTCCGTCTTGAGCGTCACGAGCCATGCCACAAGCTTGGCTATCTCGCGCCCCGAACCCGCTTTGCCTGTCACGACCACCGTGGGGAAGAGGTTCAAGAGTTGCCGGAGCTTGGTGGCGTGCTTGCGCCAGTTGGTGGGGAGCAGTATGCCCAAGGTGGTCAGTGGAACTCCCTCCACCTGCTGGGTAAGGAGCGTCTGCAGCTTCTCCTCAATCACAGCCAGAGGGGCATACCCCTACCACATTGCCTTGTCTTTGTTCATGTGGTGGTGCTGCGTGCATGGGGGTAGGCCCTTGCGCGGAAAGTGAATTGAATAATACACTCCGGCCAGACCCGATTACGTAACGACCAGTATCCGAGCTTCCTGTTGCCCTGGGTCCGTCGCAAGTAAGAACCAAAAATGGACCATATTAAAAGATCAAAGCAAGATAAAAATTGCTACGGGGTTGCCTAGGGCTAGAACATGAAATAGTACACCTACTATTGTCCAAAACAGACGAATCCACCAGAAACCAGCCCGTAAGCATAGAACTGGAGTCTTCTTGATTTCTACGTACTTGCTTACGTCCGGGATCCCTGGGCGGAGGTTGATGAATTTCATAGCACATTCATTTTTTAAAAATCTTTTATTTTGTGATTAAAAACTGTGGTCAGGATGATGACAACAATGGTGGGGATGGAGCTGAAGAAGATGAGGACAATGTGGATGATTGGGGTGGCAATGGAAACGTTGGCTGAGAGGTATGCGGTCTACTTGGGGGGTGGAAAAGAAAGGAAGGGCAGATGCTGTTGAAGAGTGCTGGGTAGGTGGGCCATTGGTGGGGTGTGGCATTGGGGGAAGGGTTGTGCTGTGGTTCCCCTTTCACTTCAAGGTCATCGTCCAGACCTGCCCAAGAAAACATCAGTATTAAACCTAACTGGTATTAAGAAGGATGGCTGTACATACCCAGATCAAGGTCCATGTAGTCCTCCAACTCATTGGAGTAAGCTGCGGGGCTACAGGGCAGAATTGGAGATGGAGGGATGAGTGAGAATTGGGGAGAGGGCTGCACTGATCCCATGTGTGATGCAGGTTGAGGGGAGGTCGCCAACAATGGACTGGGGCTACTGGTGATGGATGGTGGTGATGAAAACCCATGGGCACCTGCACATCACAAATGGGTCAGAATCAAATGAATAAAAAAAAAATGGAAATGAATGTACCTAACAGCAAGAGCTGCATTCAACAGTGAAGCTCCTCTTCAATACAGCAACACTCATCAAGCAGCTGATCAAGTGATTCTTGCTGCAGCAACTCATGTTCTTGTTTGTCCAATATCCTGGCAATTAAAATGCAATTAACAATTGAACAAAATGCAAGCAAGGATGAGGTGGCATACACAATCTCAGCTTGCAATGCTTTGCATCTCTTGCACACATCATCAATCAACATTGATGCAATTGGAGATGGCAGTGTTGGGCAAAGACCTGACACGATGGGGATGGAGGTGGGGGCGTAAAATTGCTGAATCTGGGCCTCCTCTAGTGATTGAATGAGTTGTTCTTGAACAGCACTGATTGCTGGGGCAGTGATCTACAAAAAAAGCAGTTAAATTAACAGGTAATCAAGTTGGGGGGGGGATGATGTGCCTTAAGCATGGGATTCTGATCCACTGGAGGCCCATCAGCTTTTCGTTTTTGCCCTTGTGCTTGTTGTTGCTGGGCAGTGTTGGCCAACAATTTGTTGAGGAGATGGGTGACTTCGGCTTGGCCTGCTTGTTTTTCCGCTGCCTTGAGATGGCCAACAGCAAGGTGATGGCTAAGCCGCTCCTGTGCCTTTGCCTCGACCTCCAGCAACTTGATCTTCCCTGCCTCTTGCTTCACCTTCTTCACTTCTTCTTCTCACCTTTGCTTCTCCCGATCAATTTCGGCCTTGTGGTCCTTGCCTACAGATTGAGAAATGAAAAACAGTCAGTGCCTTAACATGGAGAGCTGTTTCACATTCCATACATTTGTCCGTCAGGCGAAGGCAGAGGTTGAACTGGCTGCATCTTTGGAACACACATTTGTGTGACATCAGTGGGCTGAGGCGAGGCTCAAACTGTGGGATGTGGCACAGAGAACAGCGGCTTGGGGTATTCCCGCTGCCTGACCACACCAGCTGGGCATATGGCAGGATGCTTGCTTTGCGTGCCGCCACAGAGTTCATGACGTACTTGAAGAAGTGGTCCAGGACATTGACACCCACATCCATCATGATTCTCTGGAAGCCAGGGAGGCTCACCACTTCTGCATGGCTCACCAAGCCCTCCATCTCCTGTGTGTTGGGTATGTTTGCATGCGCTCGTGGCGTGTGTTGCAGTGGTCCAAATTTTATCGGCTAACATTTTTGTTTTATTAAACAAAGGGCAAAATGGCAACAAAATTGATCACAATCTTATTTACCACAGTCAATGCCACGACAGCCACTTGCCACGCGACGCCAGATCAAAGAGCATGAAGCGCACACAAATCACAGGTACTGCATATCCAATGTTTTACAAACAACACAAACAACTCACATTTGTTGCAGATTTAGTTGGCGCCAAAAATGTTACGCAATTGGCGCATTTGCGTTAGAGCATGGCTGTTCTGCAGCAAGCACAGCCTTTGGGGTCAGCCGAAATGTTGCACGTTACTGGCGGACGAAGCTGCTGGACCCCACATTTCATCCACGACCCTGGGGCAGGAGTGAGTACGCCCATTGCTTCAAATTTTCTGTACCAGATTTGGTCTAATTTTGCTTCATTTGTCAGATACAATGATCTGAAGTGGGGTGAGGATGGTGAGGCTCTCATCCAATCACTTGTTTGGTGTAACGTTCAGTTCACCCAACGTTCAATTTACAAGCCCATGTCACACAATTGCATGAGCAGGGCATCACCGTCTCGACATCCTTCGTTGCCCACATCTTCCGGGGCTGGCGATGGAGTTGGCAAAAGCCATGTGTCCAACAGCTACAAAAGTACACACCCCTCAACATTTGCTACTACGCTCAATTCATCTCCATCATCCCCTGCCTCCCCCCCATTCGGCTCAAATTCCTTGACGAAGCACACTTCGTCTCCCGGCACCTGCAACGCAATCGCATCATCTCGCCAACGGGCAGCACTCCCTTCCTCCGCACCACCTCTGAAATCTCTGACTCATTCTCCCTCACCCTGCTCACCGACCTCTCTGACCCCGACATTCCATTCTTCATCGACATGCGAGCGAATTCGAACACTGAGTGGGATTACGCATCCTTCATCAGTGCGGCGCTTGCTGCTGGGCGGCTTCTTCCGGGCGACTTCCTCTTCGTCGACAACGCTTCGATTCACTTTGGCGCTGAGACCCGACCCTTCTTACGCGAGATGCTGAACAACGCTGGTGTCCACTACATCTTTCTACCAACCTACTCGCCCGAGTTAAATCCGTGTGAGTTGGTCTTCGCCAACGTCAAGCACTTCATCCGTGCACAGCGAACTTCGACCAGCTTTGTGCCACAGCTTGTTGTGGACGCTCTCGCATCTATCTCTTACTCCTCTCTTGTCTCCTTTTATAGCCACTGCATCTATATTCAGGACCGCTCCCCTGTCACGTAATAAACACTTTCAAAAGAACGAAACACTTTCACAAGAACACAACTTTCTGTAACAGTTTCTATTGGTTGCGCTCGATGTCGTGGAGGCCGCACAGAGCAGCCATAGATTTAAAAAACTCCAGGTTTCCTGTGACGTGGCGCCTTTCTCCAGCCCACAAACTGGTTTCTGGTGGATTCGTCTGTTTTGGACAATAGTAGGGCGATCAGCGAGAAAAGGGAGAGAACGACGGACAGCAGCACGCGCCTGATGGTCAGGAAGCCAGGCGGAGGCACCGCGCAGATTGAGCGCAGGTCGATGTCCCGATCCCACCACTCCACCATGCCGGCACAATGGCCCATGCCTGTGCGCGAAGCGTTATGCTGCTGCTGGGCTTTTTTTGTCCAGACCTTGGGCGGAGAAAGGGGAACGCGTACCGACAACGGCGACTATGGTGTCGCCCGGGCATGAACGGAGCTGGCATGCCAGGAACTGATCTCGTTCGGTGATGAGGGTCCCACAAGGGATGGGAATTCGGTGGACAGCTCCTTCACCATCTCTGTGATGACGTCCGAGTTCTTCATGCGTTCGATGTCCTCCTGTGTGTGTGTGTGTGTGG